GGTCGATGGGGTTCTTCGTGGTGATCGGAGAAGACAGCGTCAGCAGCAGCAGCAGCAGCAACATGAGCTGCTGCTGATACAGGAGAGAGAGGTGGGGAGGGAGGGGAAAGAGGAAGAGGGGGGCTGTGCTGTAGTACAGGCGTGCACTAAGGGCACACCGTCGTCATCGAGAAAGAGGACAAGAGGAAAGTCGAGGAAGTCGAGGCCGGCGGCCGTCAGAGCGTCGTGCGGGGGGATTATGCCCGCAGGAGAGCAAGGGTATAGTCGAGAGGAGGAGGTGGAAGAGGTGGGGGAGGAGGAAGAGGAGGTAAGGCAGGAAGGCAAGGAGGAGGGGGTGGTCTCGGAAGTTGTTCATCGTCATCAGGAGGGAATGGACGGGCAGGAGGGAAGGGGGGGGGGAGGGGGAGGGGGAGTAGGCGGAGTAGGCGGCGGAAGAGGTGCCGGCGGATTGGGAAAGCTCAGGCGGGAAGGAAAGGGCAGAGCGCCGAGGGGTGGCGGTAAAAGGCGGGGTGAAGTGTGGCAGCAAATTGGAACCAACAAGAGACCTAAGAAGAGGGCTAGACGAGAGCAGCATCAGGATCAGCAGCATCCTCATCATCAGCGTCGGACCTGTCAGCAGGCGCAGCTCACGGAGAATGGCAATCTGTATCTGAGAAAAGCAGCGGCAGCCATTCTTGATGATGAAGAGGAGGGGAGGCGGCGGCTTAAGGACCTAAGAGAGATCGAACGGATGGACGAAGAGAGAAGGGCAGCATTCGAGGTCGAGAGCGAGGTCAGCAATGAGGAGGAGGGGGAGGAGGAGGAGGAGGAGGAGGAGGAGGAGGAGGAAGAAGAAGAAGAAGAAGAAGAAGAAGAAGAAGAAGAAGAAGAAGAAGAAGAAGAGGAACAAGGAGAGGAGGACGAAGAAGAAGTGGAGTTAGTCGAGGAGGTAGAGGAGGTGAAGTTGGTGGGGGAGAGGAGGCGACGGCAGCGACGCGTTCTTGCCAAGGACAAGAGAGTCCAGATCGCGACCCACGACGATGGGATGGGAGCTCGGCGGGAAGACTCTGGTCGCGCGATGTCCGATCGCCTAGGCATGGAGGGAGACAGAGCGGCGCCGGTGGTCAAAGCAAGAAGAATGGAACATCATCTTCAGAGGCATTGTGACATCGATCTTGTCGGAGACGATGCCAAGAGCGGGAGAAATTCCGCCGAAGAGGAGGAAGTCAATCTAGTAGTCAACGATGGCGATGGAGGCTACGGGGCAAAAGGGGCGGGGGGGGGGAGTCTAATGGCCATCCGGGCGCCGAGCAGCGGGAGCAGGAGGGGGGCTGGGCGACGTGCGGAGGAGAGGGAAAGAAAGGCCAAAGAGAAACCGAGCCCGCTATCTCGGCCTGCGGAGGAAGGTGTGGTTACGAAGATAGGGAGTCGGAGTGGTAGAGTCGTAGCGATGGATTGTTGTTGGGAGATTAGGGGAGAGGAAGGGGGAGGGGAGGAGGAGGAGGAGGAGGCTCCAGGGGGAAGAGGAAAGGAAAAGAGAGAACTTCGGGGAACTTGCGCGGCTGCTAGTGGGCGGGGCATGCTGTTACGCAGACCGCACCTGTCCTTCCCGGTGACTGTGGGCGGGGGGGGAGTGTTGTCGGAGAAGGAGGTGATTGTGGTGGAGGGGGGAGGTGGGCGAACCCACAGCAGTTGTGCCACGGCCTCCGGTATGCGCTATGTCGACTTGGCCATAGACGGCGATGTCGGCGATGTCGGCGATGTGTCGTCCCGAGCGATGGCGAGTCGCGCGCATGACGGGGGAAGCGTAGGAGAAAGGGAGGGAGACGCTGTCGCTGTGGCCTCCGTAGAGACATGGGGAGGCGGGGAGAGTGCAACAAGGTGGTTGGCAGGGTCCGGCGGTTATCAAGCATATCCGTCAAGGAGCAGGTCAACGACGACGAAGAGATTGGATATGGCTGCTGCACAAGAAAGGGAAAGGGGTTCTGCTATGGAGGTGAAGAGCGGGGGAGCTGCGGCAAAGAGAAGGGCGATGGTGGACGCGAGGGAGATGACAGCGGGAGGGATGGAAGATGACCACCGCTCAACGCTCGACAAGGCGAGGGTTGGGAAGAAACGGCGCTTGGTTTCGATGGGGCTAGACATGGCGGAGGGGAGAAGAGCTGAAGAAGGGGGGATCCAAGAGGAGGAGGAGGAGGAGTCCATGGCTGTGGGAGCGCAGAATCCGCGTGGGAAGAGCTTGGTTCTCATGACGAAGGAAGAGAGCAGCAGCAGGGCGGCGGACGGTCACCCCCCGCCCTGTTATGGGCATAGTAACGAGACTGACGAGGGTGTGGTGGGTAAAGAGGGCAACCTGATCGTCCGACTGAAGCTTACAGGACATCGAAAGAGAGGAGGGGGAGGAGAAGGAGGAGGGAGGGACAGAAAGCACGTGCAACAACAAGAGGAGCAAGAGGACTTGACAACGGATGAAGGGTGGAGAGAAAGGGATCATCGTGTCACAGGGAGAGGGGGGGGGGGG